GATTTCTTTTTCTGTTGGAGCAGTATGATTTCAGGCAGAGACGTACTTAGCCCTTCTCGTCAACTGGAGAGTGAGTACTTTTTCCTTTATTTTTTTTTACTTGGTCGCCCTCGTTTCACTACACATTACCTTTGTTATTTCAAGGGTAGTTGTTTCTGAAAAGGAAAACCCCAACTTTGCGGTCACCCTGTATATTGTTTTGTAAACTTCAGTGAAGCTTTCTACTTTTGGTCATATTTTAGGACTTTTGAACTACTGTGGCGTCAATCGTGTGTGGGCTTAATGGACAAGTTTACCATTTTTTGTTATTAGCTCAAATGAAAGCTTAGGAAAAATGAAACAAGATGGAGAAAAAATTATTAATTTATCTCAAAAGCCTATACAGGGTGTCCCAAAAAAAGTGTGCAATATTCTACCAGCGGTTTCTAGAGCTTAAAATAGGAAGAAAAGCTTATATAAACATAGGTCGACAAACGTCCCCTAAGGGCGCTACGGTCTTTTAAAGGGGCTCCCCTGAAGATGGTTTTTCCTTAATATTTCCGAAAAGTGTTGAGATAAAGACATAACATTCGGTATTCTAGCCTAGTTTTTTATGCTGGATTTAAAAATATTAACAATTTTAGACAGTTTTGTTTGAAAGCGTATGTAACAGGGACGGACTCAGGTTATTTTAGCTCCAAAATTTTTGTGAGATTCTATTTTTGAAATTCAATTTTAGAATTTGAAAATCTATGGTTTTCTACATAAAAAAGGTACTCTTACTGAATATCGATAAATTGTGCCATTTTTGAATAAAATCAAACTAAAAAAATTGCCACATGATAGAATGCACTGCGAATTTTAATGAATTGTTGATTATACATAGTTAGCCATGACTGCAAACAAAAGTTGTTTCGATTTTTATGACTCATTTTGACGTTAAGCTGACATCGTTAGCAGTGTAAAATTACTACTTCAGTATCCAGTTGCAACGCCCGCTGCCGAGGCACATACAGCGGGGCACATGGTAGGCTAAACGTCTTCCGCCCCAATTTGTTTAATTAGTTGACTGCATATACGATCGGTTATGAGCGAAATAAGAACAAAGTGTTGTTATAAATACTGTACCGTTCCAAAATGTACAAGCACAACAATTACAACCCATGATAAACATTTTTCTACGTACCTTCGCATGCGGTGTCCATAATGGTATTAACTTACGCAGTACTCAATAGTTATCAACTGGAAACCACGTGTCCGAGCGCACAGATGTGTCTTATGAATTGTATATAGACTAACGACTAAACGCACAGACGCTGTGGAACACCCTCGCGACGAGACGCTGGGCACTAGAGAAGTGTGACGTCAGACGTGATCGAACGGCAGCAATGATTTCGCGCTATAATGCGCCAAATTTAAGTATCAATTTCTCTGTCATTTATTGGCCAATTTTAATAATTTTTTTCACTGGCCGATTATATTTAGTCTATTTTTTGCTGGTATGTCATTACTTATGCGATTCTGAATATCCCGAAACTTCTCCATTATAAATGTTAATTCGTGCCAAAGCATACATGTTTCGCATAGTAGGTATATTTTACCATTACAACCATTATTATGTCCACCTTTGGAATACTAGAGGAATCGATACGCAGAAAATCTTCCATTTTATTTATTGTATATCCTTAATGTCGCACAGCGTTCTATGCACAAACAATATATTGAGCGCTAAGGACTAAGGCCCGTATCGTCAGTCGTCCTACAATTGTAGGGCGCGTTTATGGCCTCCTTGATTGTCATACTGCTTTCTCTCCTTCAAAAATTTCTAGATTACACTTGTCCCATGTCAGCGTCAGCGCTCTCCTATTGTAAAGATATGTTTTCTTTTTAAACTGTAGGAAATTTCAGGCTGATAAAACATGATATAACTCCAAAGCAAGCACAATTTGATGCAAATAGATGTTTGAGACATAACCTCAAAATAGAGCACTGACACGGAGAAGTAGAAAACTATGACTGTCAAGGAGGCCATAAAGGCGCCCTACAATTGTAGGGACGGCTGACGATACGGGCCTAAGAGACGTCGCGTACGTAATAACTTCCTTAAATTTTAAGTTATCGGAATAAGTTCTTCAGGTTTGTGAAAGATACCAGTTATACTATTATATGCAAGTGAAAATATTATTAGTACTTTCGACTGCAGGAAACTTCGTAATTTCCGAGAAAAAGTAAATTTTGCCTTTTTGGACCACCCTGTATGAACGAAAATAGAATACGAAAAAGTGTTGAATACGGGTAAAGCTGAGGTTTGTAAAAAAAATCAGCGCTTTTATAAAAGGAATCTGTCAGCGTACAATGTTCGTGCTTTTAAAGCATTACATCTTGCCAATCCGTACATTAAATGAATATCAGAATATTCATCAAACGGATACTCCATAATGTTTAACAACTTATTGTCAACTTAAAATTATTCCATATGCAAAACTTAAAAGACATCCCTCGTATAAGGTAACTAGTTTCTTAACACAGTTGAGTAGAGATTTAATAAATACTTTCAAGCTTGGCGCTCTCATTGACACTTGATTTCAGTTCCCGGGTATTATAGAACAAACCTGCTAGTACTTGTCCATTCATTAAGTTAGTCAAGTTTTGTCATGTTCCAACGCAACTCGGGACAAGTTGCCCTGGTTCTGGGTACATAAAACTTTATTTACAATATTGTTTTGACATTGTTCAAGCAAAATTAGAGGGTAAGCGTGTTAAAAAAACAACTTTCATTTTTTTTGGAACACCCTAATGAAGATATTAGGATAAATTTGGATAATTTGCAACATTTGCATACTATATAAAATATCTCTTGAATTCATTATTTGATTGAATGATAATTTGAAGAAAGATTAATCTACATGTTTTTTATCAAAATGCACAGCAAAAAATGTATGTAAAATCTGTAATTATGTATTTAAAATGTAAATACATAAAGGTATATATTGCGTATTCCCGATGTGTGTATAAAAATAATCTAGGTCATAATCCACTTCTAAAATACTGAGATTTATAATTATAAGAAAATTTATTTTTGCTGCATCTAGATTGAAAATATACTCAAAGTATATTTCCCACTATTTACTTTTGTTCCAGTAACGTTCGCATTGCGTCAATATCAGATAAAAATATAACAGATTCATAATTTCAGGCTTAAGATGTTTCTTTGACTCTTAAAATTGGCACTTGAGTAAACAAGAGACAGGGTACTTGATCTGTTTGCGCTCTCATAAGAATGAAAATAATAAATAAATATGGATGCTATTTTTGACTTCCCACGCCTACTGTCGGAGAAGTTGTTTTCGTCTTAATGAGATATTGTTTTTTAGATAATACTCGTATATCTATGACACGTGCATTACGAGAAACCATGTCACTCATTTCCGTTGGTCTGTCTGTCTGTCTTTCCGCTAATCTTATTACCGTCTATAACTTTTGAGAATTACCGCTCGGATTTCGATGAATTTTTTATACAATGTTACTACTATGCCAAGGACGCAAACACTTTGTAGTTTTTAAAAATCGATCCGGTGGCGGCAGAGAAAAAAAAAACAAAAATGATAAAGAATAAAAAACGCTCAAACTTCGTTTTTTGAAGTTTTAGACGATCATCATCATTTAAAAAAAAAATTAGGGGATGTAGAGGGTTTATCTCAATTTTTTGATGTTAGTACATTTAAAAGTTCCCAAAATTGGTAATTCTACGCACCTATTAGACATATTTCACACAGCATATATTTGTCCGTACATTAGCCCTTATAACTTATTCTCGACAAACGGATCGCGTGCCTACCGGCCACGGCTGCTGCTCCGCCGACCTTGGTCAATTATGTTGTTCTGGTATGGTATTACACGTATTTCTGCCGCGCAACAGCATAGTGTTTCCGATTCTCTGATCCCGCTGCCACGTCTTACGGAAAATAACAGCGGGTTATCTAGCAATATTTCAAAATTCCCCATATCGACAAGTGACACACAATTCTGACGGATTTGTCAACTCCAGGTAAAAAGCGGTATTTTGTTGTTTCTTTCTTTTGTACGCTGCTGATTCATTTTGTACTTCCTAACCACTCTTTTAATCAGAAAAGATTCCCCTCATACAAAAAAAAAACGCTTCAAGCAAAATGGCTAATAATGATCATTTCAAGTCAGGTAGAAATGAAATGAGATAAACGGTTTCTGATTTTGTTAATCGTCTCTACTTTTTAGAACTTGAAACACCATACGACTTTAAAGAGAAAAACAACCACATTTGAATTGCGTTACACTGATGATAAATAACCAGAAACACGTGTATTATTTTTACATGTTAAATTACATCTATTGGAAAGGACAACACAGTCTGTTCTATTAACTTACCTCGTAATCAATAAATTGCAGATGTACGACAATAATTTTCTACTAAAAATTTTTCTATGAGTATATTTTATTGTCAAAATTCCCAGATGCTAAAAGTATCTAGATATGTGAACAGCAGCCCTGAATATGGTCGTAAGTTTGACGACTAATACAAAGGTTCGATTGCTGATCAGCTGTTCACTTCAGTAGACGTCAAAACTTAATGGGTACTCGTGAAATAGGGTTTGTCGGGGAGAGGCGACGTTTCCAGGAGCACTAACCGGTAAGGCAGACAAATAATGCCAATGGACTAATTCTATGGACCTGTTTGACTGACTTTTTTCTCAGAGGGTCTAGTTTGTGCCTAACATAATCCTTCATGGGCTGATAACGGCGTTGTGTGGGAAGTGCAGAGTCAACCTACTTAACACCGTTTCTTTCACATGATAACGCTCACTGCAATAAGGATTAGCTGGCACCCTTATCTTTTTAACTTCATAATAATATCTAAAAAATAGTTATAACGGTTTTTGAGCCGATATGGCAATTATTTCGTTCTTGGCTCTTCTTTTAACACTTTCAGCTATTCAACAAACCAGTATACCAGCATCTATAAAAATAAGTTCTTTGTTGCTAGGTGACAATTCCAGGTTGTTCAGATTTTTGTCCGCGAACATGTGAATTGACATTTCCGTATTTACATTGCACATCCTATGGTCTGTTTTTTATATCCATTTAATTATCTCTATCGAGGTTTTCTGGCTCAAAAACCAAGTTCAAAAATTATAACGCGTTTGAACAAACTTTGGCACGTTTACGACCGGGAATTCGACATTTATGAGCATATAGCAGATCTGTATAAAATTCTAATAAGCTGTATGCTTGAATTATCTAGCCATGGCCCTGAAGACCGACTTAAATCCCAATGAAATCTACGACTCCTCTGGAATTATAAAGAGCGGCCAAGTGATGTTGTACGACCGATCTTTGATGTTCTATTCTCGGGACATCTCTCAGGATGAATGCTCCATAGTACTAAATCCTGCCCAACATCAAAACCTGGATCTTCCTGAAATTGTGCTGGATGGCGACTATTTCCAATTCGACAGCGTACCCAGTATGCGACCTAATCATCAGTCCGGCCAAGATCTGACTGTGCTGGAGATCCTTTACAACAACGACCAAGTTCCTGATCAACCCGAGTTCGTAGACGTTGATCAGTTGACAGATTTAGATACACTCGAACCTGCTACTGCTACTTCAACAATTTCGTCTGCCATACATGAAGAAAACGAAAAGATGATGATGACGACGTAATATTCGTCAAGGAATACAAACACAATGAAATCATAAAGGAAGAAACTGGCCGACAAGTTGAATTTGGAAGCTCGTACAGTAGATCAAATCAGGTAAGTTTTGACATTTAGTTCCCTGTTTTATTTTACAGAATTTTTTAATTTTGTTGTACCCCTATAAATAGTATTGCTGTGCAGAGTACATTATCTGAAAATCATTACGTTTAATATTTCTCAAATCTACATCTCTGAAACTAAAAATATCGTATTACTATCGTTATACAGAGTGTTATTGGCAACACCTTAACGTGAATGGGCTAATATATGCCTCCGCCAATATGTAGAGGCTAGATCTGGCATCATATGCATTAAAAGTAATGTTATGATTAACGAAAGATTTATTCTGTCAAGGTGACATTTTCGTAAATAAATCCAAAAAAATAATGTATACTACGCAATAGAATATTTCCTAGCATTGAAAGAAGTCAAATTTCGACACGTGCAATGATTTTAAAACCTACAAATTGCATAAAATAAGTTTCTTATGATAATATAGACAGCTACGTAATTGTTCTGGCTGTTTATGACTGAATAGGTACAAATATCCAATTATTCATTGTTTTTGTGCAATACTACGAGAAGCGAAAAAATATGAAGTACTAATTACAAGTGACGTCATTTTTTCATAAATAATTTCACCTTAACAGATGTCAACATTCTAAAAATGTAATGGCTAATTTACCTGCTGCACGCACGCAACTACTAATGTTGACAAATCACTGACAAAAGACCTAACCAATTTGGCGATAGATGACGTAGAACGTAAGCTAAGTAGAAACTCCATATTTATCACAGAATATTTTTCTGTTCGTTTTGCTGTACTATACTTGGTGTTACAGTATTTATTCTCTAGACTACCTCATTTTTCTTCAATCTTTAAGGACGAATATTTCATATTGTTCCATAAAATAAGTTTCCTTGCCCGCTAGATTATTATTTTTAGCACTCAATTAACATGCTAAGCACCTAAAGCTAAGACGCCAATGAAACTAATTACTCCATGTGTTGTGTTTATCCATTTTCCTTATTGCTATCGGGTAAAAAAAATTCAGTGCCGGATTTTTTAGGTTAAATGAACTTCTGAATATGCGATTTACCCTCCTATGCTCCTATCACCCTGTTTTCATCATGTTAATTCGAGGAGAAGGTTTAATTCTCTGAAATGGATATCAATTCTTTGTAGCCAAAATTGTGCTCTCTCTGTTCTGCGCTGAATCACCGATTTACGCTAGATCCTGCCTCTATTATAATTTCCATTAAAAAGAGGAATAAAAAAAACCCATCATTCACAGGTGAATCTTCCAAAAGTGAGAAGAAACCCTGTGAGAACAACGAGGAACAAATCGAGGGACTTTTCTATGGAAGTTTTATATGAGGAAGATTTTGCTTTCCTGGACTCCACTGATGATGAAGATGACTTCAAAGAAAATAAGGTACGGTGCAGTGTTGACCAAATAAAGATATAAAAAAATCCCCAGATGTTCAAAAACACTATGTGGTGGTGTGGTATCTTGGTTGTGAATGTCTACATTTTTCTACAACAGCAATGTCTCCATTGCTTTCCTAACTGTTTCTTTTTTTTGCTTAAGCAAGTATTTTCTAATTTCTATTCATCATACTACAATATCACTTCTTTCTTTATTTGGCGTTAACCAATGCGTACTGTTAGATAATTTCAGCATTTTTCACATTCAGTATTGATTTCGATAAAACATTAGTACAATGTGAAAAATGATTTTCTCAATTACGTTATGATTATTACCTGATTTTAAAGGTAATTGAGCAAGTGCTTCAAAATACACTTTTTTGTAAAATCCCTCATGCTGAACTATTTAAGAATTATACAGGGTGTTTCACAACTTATCCGACAAATTTTAACCATACATGCACTGTTACGAAAGAAGTTGATTTCTAAAAAAAAAATGTGATAGAAATCCTACAGAAATCGAGATAATAAAATAATACAGTCTATACTTCACTTACTTATAAAAGCTGATCAAAATTGTTTCCATTCACTGCAATGCAAGCTTGAGCGCGTCTAATCCAATTTCGGCGCACTAATTAATTTCATAGATATCACCATAAAAAGAAGTCCAGAGGATTTAGACCGGGAGACCGTGGAGGCCATGCAACTGCCTTGTGCTTATTCCCGGATTTTCTTCCACAATATCCAAAATTTCGTCTTCGGCATTTAAAACGTGTTGTTGGCAAACCCGACCCCATCCACTCCACGTCTGGGGCGCAAATCTCCACCAGCACGTGCACGTAAAACAATTAAACTAAATGTTTCGTGATGTGGTATGTGCCTATTCGGAAATCTCCGTACGCTAAAACAATGTCCACTGACTCCCCATTAGTGTACACATGTGCCATTTTATTAATAAATGACTAAGAACATAAACTCGCAAAATACTTTCTTATTTAACTTCACAAAAATCGACCGTTCTTCATTCAGATCACCCACGATATAGATTAAACCTTATTTACACGTTATCAGTATGAAAAAACAAAAAATTCCTGGTATTTTATTTTGTCAGTTGTTTGGTACAACATTTGCTACAATAAATTATTAATGCGTGTTCTAATATCACGACGATAAATGCAAAATACAGATATTTAATCTTAAATTTATTATTGAAACTCAGGCTTATAACTTAATTTCTGTAGGACTTTTATTGCATTTTTTTGAGAAATCAACTTCTTTCGTAACAGTGCATATGTAGTTAAAATTTGTCGGATAAGTTGTTTAGCGAGGCCAATATAAGGATCCTACGCACACGGATTCCAATACATATGGAGATACAGCTTAGATTAAATTAAGAAAAGCTGCGTTCTTTGGGGCGTATTTATATGCCGTTGAGAAAATTGTAAAAATTTCATGGCTTACTGAGATATTTGGAAAAAAAAATAAAATTTGGTCGAATCATTTTTTATTTTTTTTCGACTTTATTTCAAGAAATATCAAAAAACTAATGAAACTTTATTAGCATGTATTAGGTACTACATGGTGGTGCTTTATTCTTTTATATGGTCCGAAAAAAGGACACTATGTGATAGCGTTTTTTATACGAATTCGTATGACATGTTACATTTATGTTCTTGGTTATAACGAAACCTGATTTTTTAATTTTTTTAAGTAGGCGTTTGCAAACAAATGCTTGACGTGACGTAAATACCTGTCGGCGATAATTGTTATTATCGTGTATTGCTTTATTATCGTCAAAGATTCCAGACGGTCATTTTAGCAATGAAGAAAAGTTCAACCTGCTGACGTGCTATATTTTGTGCTACAAAAATACTAAAAATACTGCAGAAATGTATCTTGATAAATTTCCCGAAAGATAGCAGCCAAGTAAGTCCATCTTCTTAGAGTTGGCACGAAATTTGACTGAGTATGGTTCATTCAAAAAGCTGTCTCGAAAAAATGAGTCTTTAGAGGAAACTGAGAATAGTGTTTTACAGACAATCGCTGAGAACTCTGAGATATCAACTAGGCAAATTGAGAAAAATGTAGGACTAGCCAAATTCATTTTGCGTAAAAATCAATATCACAACTATATCGAACGGCGTCAGCATTTTTGTGAGTGGTACACACGAACGTGCGAAGAATATTTTAAATTTCATTCAAAAATAATATGGTCCGACAAGAGTATGGTTACTAATAATGATATCACTCATTAATGGGCTTAAGAATATCTGCGGGCTAACAAAGTATCGAGACGTCAAGAACGCTTCGGGCTTAATATGTGGTGTAGAATCAAGGAACTAAAATATTAGGTTTATTTATTTACAACTCATTGACTGCAGAACGGTACCTTCAATTGTTGCAAACAATATCTACAAGCCTACATGGATAATTTACCTTTGGCACAGGTTCAGCGATTTCCCGAGAGGTGGATTGGAACCTCCAATGTCCTGGCCAGCGCGTTTCCGGTTTTAACTCCTCTGGACTTTTTTGTTTGGGGTTTTAATAAAAACCAAGTTTATCAGCATACTTTTGAAAATGAGCAGCAGTTACGAGAATGTGTAATGGAAGCTTTTAGTATGATTGCACCAAAAATGTTACGTGACGTTTTGAATTCCAATGTTAGAAGGTCATATTTATGTTTAGAACATAAATCGCAACCTATTTGAACACCTATTGTGAATATGCATCTATCAGTAATCACAATCTTAAATTAATCATATTTGCCTGAACGCCCACTTAAATAAAATAAAAAAATACATTTTCTTTATAAACATCTTGAGCTCGTAGAAAAAGATGCTATCTTACCACAACTGAGCGGGGCCGTGGCAGACGCTTGTCCCGGAAGTTGTATTCAGTATACGACTTCTTCCCGTTCAAGTGATTGTACACTCGTTAAGGAATACCTCATTATCGATTGCCGTGTGGCGGTACAAGTCCACCAAATGGCCACTTCAGGTCTATTTAACATCATTAACAAATAAGGTGGTAGGACAAGGACCAGTTGACCGAGGCGGTACCACCCGCTAGCTTTTCCAGGGTGTCTTATAAATGTCCGCATGTTTCCACACCTAAGCTATGCAGTCGGTATATCTTCCCCAACAAAGAAATTAATTATGATGGATCCTTTGATTACTAAGAACTCCAGACGTAAACTCACTTCACTCTCGGATGTTCTGAGTGGAGAGTGGACTCGAGAGAACAACATTGATGATAAAATTTGTTTCACGAACATCTGCGGGATTACAGCAATGTTTAATGCTGTTCATCACTACTTGCATTCCAATGGTCCCGCCATGCTTTTCTTGGCGGAGACAAAAATCGCAGCGTCTGCACCGATTAATTTCCTTAGCTTCCTATTTACGAGGTGCACTCCAATCTGAGAAAAAACGGGGGAGTCGTGGCTTTTGTCCGCGGCAGTCTTTCCTGCGCCAGAAACGTTTTTTTAAATCAGATCGGAAGGAAATTCTGTGGCTTCTCCTCAACTCCAAAACATCCCCCATTATTGCTGCCTCCATCGCTCTCCCTCGGACTATAACTGGTATGACCTACTTGAATTCCTCGCTGTCAAGATCGACTTCTGAACATCAATCACCCGCTTCAGAGGTAGTTCGTCTCGGTGATTTCAATGCCCATGATGAGCTTTGGTTTGGCTCAAACAAGACCGATGCAGCTATTACCCAAAGGCTCACCCAGCTGGTGACGAGATCTACTGCCAGTAGCCCCCTGGAACTCTTTCTGACCCCGCACCCTGTCCCTTACACTGCTGCTGTCGTGTCTTCCCTGAATAACTCAGACCGGCCAGCTGTGGCAGCAGAAACTCGCCCAGGCCGCAAAATTTGGCATTACCGGCATGCAGACTGGGGAGGCTTAGAGACTTCTTCTCTACCTTTCCTTGGATAGATGTTTATTTCGTTGACGGGAACGGCGAATGCGTCGGCTATATCTGTTCATCGATAACTGAAATTATCCACGTTGTGATGGAGGAATGCATCCCTTATACAGTGGAAAGTGCCCAAATCAGGGACCAACGGCTGATTCAACAAGTCGTGTGATACTGCTCGCCAGCAGAAGATCAAGGTACACAGAACCTTCTTACAAACTCCCACTGTAGAGAACAGACAAGCTGACGTCGAGTCCAGAAACAAATATAACGAAGCCGTTCGTAATGCCAAAGACCAGCTCAATATAAAAGTTAATGTCGCAGCGCAATGGCAATCGGTCTTTCTGGACGCTAGCAAAGCAGATTGAAATGAACTTCTCACAGAGTAGCCTTCCACCACTTACGTGTCAGGATGGAACGATTGTAACCCACTCAAAGACTAAGGCGGAAGTGCTTGCCAAGATCTTTGCTGCCAACTCAACCGTGGACGTCCTCCCCCAACGCCCATGTGCCGTCGATTCAAAGGGTTCCCTGCACTATGCAAGAAGTAACATTCAGACGCCTGCTCTTGTCGCTCGATCATCCCAATCCACAGTGTTGCTGATGACAGCACTCTACATGCAGAAATTTGAAGCGACAAGCCGATCTCGGCAGGTGAGCTGGAAAAAAGAAGACTAGCGGTGACTTCCTCTTTGACGAGAGACCTAGAGGTTATCACTGCTTGGGGACGCAACAATCCTGTACAGTTTAATACTTCCAAATCACAGTACTGTACCTTGACGAACAAAAAGCGTCCTAATCTGGTTCCGATGGATGGCCGAGTTCTGCCAAACAGCCGTTCATTTCGGCTGGTTGGAGTCCAGATTACCGAGGAGTTGATCTGGCACCAATACATCTCGTCAATATCGGCAGTTCCTGGGAAAAAGCAAGGCGATTTGTTTGGGGCTAAGAAGTAGTTTTCTTCGCATGACCTTCTCACTCTATTCAAGGACCAGATAAGGCCTAGCCTCGAGTATTGCTCACACGTTTGGGGTGCTACCACCCAGACTACATTATTTATGCTCGATGCTGTCCAGAGGAGGGCTGTCGATTACTCTTCTCTAACAGATAGTCTCGAGACCCTTTTACAATCGTGTCAAACTTCATGCATCCAGAACTGGTCGATACGACCGCTCATTTGTCTCAAGGGTGTCGATTATGTGGTACAGTCTACAAGAGGAAGCTTTTCTCAGCTCTACTAACCTTACAGTTCAATTGGATTAACAAAAGTACCAATGAAAAAGTTCCGTTAGCTTTTTGATATTTCTTACAGTCAGAAAAAAATAAAAACGATTTTGCTAATTTTTAGTTGTTACGAAGCAATGAAATTCTTACAAGTTTCTCAACGGCATCTAAATACGCCCCAAAGAACGCGGCTTTTTCATAATCTAACCTAGGCTGTATCTCTCGCAGGTATTGAGATCCCCATGCATAGGATCCTTATCTTGGACATCCTGTATATATAGAGAGAGTTTCGTATTTTTTACTTACAACAAGACGAAGTGCATTATCGTGTACCAGCACCTACATATACTTATGGCATGCTTTTGTTTTAGCCATCTAAGAAAAATTGCGAACTTAGAATTGCCGAAAGAATGGCCCATTGATGTTCACGAACGTCCAGAGTACAATTACAAAACCCAACAAATCGAATCCTTTGACTTTACAATTCGAGAGATTCAGAAAAAGGTCCCTCCTAAGAAACCCAGATTAGAAACTGTACCAATCCGAAGAAAATCCAACAAAAAATACCTCTCCAGAAAAAAGAAACCTAAAGCTGTAGTAGAAAAGAAGACTCCTTTGAAAGATCTCCAGCCTTTGGTGAAGAGCACGAACGCGCTGTTGAGAGATTTTTTCAGATCTCTTAGAGATGATAGGCATTTGATAAAAAGAGACAAGAATAATCTTCATGAGCGCGTGCAAATATTGAGAAACCAGGCTATGTTGTCTTCGCTTGTTAATGGCGATCAAGTAGATGAAGCTTTGAAAAATCTAGACCGTTGCTTCAAGGAATAGATAAACTAATATTACTGTCCAAAATGTAGTTTTTATATAAAAGTATGTTACATTTCATAAAGAATCCATTGAAAATTGATTTATTTAAAATGAAGTGTTGTACTGCTGGCTTAAATTGTTATAAATTAATCTTCCAATAAATGATTCGATAATGACACTAAACACATTTGATATGTCCAAATGTAAATATTCTACAGGGTATTACTCGATGGACAATTGTTTATATATTTGTTCATTCGTTGAAATATTTCATCGCTGATCCCCCTTTCCACTAGGTATGACGATGGAAAGGAAATTAAAAATTTCCTCGCTATATTCCATAATACGGGATAAGTAACAGATATGTTGTTTTGCAGCCAATATTGCTGATATCCGTTTTTAAACTGAACCTTAAGTTCTTCGTTTGTACTTAGTTCAGTCAGTTCTCTTGTTTATGACATTCGTTTCTTCTA